GACCTGAGCCGAAGGCAGTCGCTTAACCAACTGAGCCACCCAGGCGCCCAGATGTTGTTTGTTTTATTAGAGGAGAGACCCGGGTACCCAGATTATCACAGTTTAACATGGCTGTGATGGATGACGGTCCTGATAGGTGAAGGAGGGCACAGTGGAGAGACATGAGAGTTGGGCTTTGGCGTGCAGGGCTCACCCAACAGACCACTGACAACAGGGGTCTGCCTGCATGTTTGTGCACCCCACAGTAAGAGAAAGCATTTCAGGCAGGGGACTGGCACGCACGAAGCCCTGGCAGCGAGAAACAGCCAACGGCCACCAGCTTACTGGGGCGGGGGGCGGGGGGGGGGGGTCTTCCAGCCAAGTCTGTATTCTTTTCTATGAATGGAAAAACAGGTCTTGAGGAGTGTCATCACTCACTGGCAGGCTCGTCACTGGTCCTCCCAGGCTCTATGCTTAATAGATAGGAACGCTCATCACAAGTGGGGTATCTACAGGGTGTTGGCAATATTTATGAGGAACAGTTCTGGAAGAACAGTTCAGGATTGCATTTATGTGAATGTGCCAGAAAGCTGAGCAGACATGGGGAAGGCAGACAGACCTCGGGTTCTCTGCAAGATGTGTGCTGGGACAGGGAGGTACCTGGCAGTCACCCCATCACCGGACCTGGGACGTGGAGACACCACCTGAAGGGAGTACTGCTGGCCCAAGGTGTGGGCTGGGTGAGTAAGCTGTGGTGTAGCCAAACAAAACAGCCAGGAACTACCAGATACCAGTGTGCTAGCTCTGTGTCTGGGGACAGGCAGACCTGATACATTCTTACGGGAACAAGAAAAAAACCCTAGGGGCAGAACAAACAGGATACCATTTAGTTTTTCTTTAGGATAAACATTTGTTTGCCCCGTGTAGGAAATTTCTGGAAAGACAGATAGTATAAGATACTTGTGAGTACCTAACTCTGAAGAGAGCAACCAGGAAACTGAGACAAGGAAGGAGAAGTTTACTTTTCAAGCCTTATGTTCTAACTAGTGCTTGATTTTTTCATTAACACGCATGGTTTTTGTATGACAATAACTGTAACAATAATATTAAAGACCTATCATTTAACGACAGGCAAAACCTGGCCCTCAGGGGATTACGCTTCTCTGGAGAAGTTTTCTGAAGATTCAAAGCTACTCTAAGAACCCGAAGTGGAAACATCTTCAACTGCTATTTCTTGTTATAGATGCCAGAATAGGTGCAAGCAGCAACTCCTGAAGGAGGGGGCCAGGTGACACCGTGAGCGCTGAGTGGGACCAGGGCCCTCACAGGGAGACCCACTGCTCGCCCAGCCACGCCTCCCCCAGCTGGAAGGCAAGCCCAGTCTCACCCAGTTTCCTTAACACTTCAGACAGTTCTTACTTTTTATAGTTACATGTCACCATTTGTGACCGTGTCAGTTAGATGGACCCTCAAAGACCCTTTGGGCATACTCACCATGCTCGGCCTGTTTTTGTAAATAAAGTTTTATTGGCACATAGCCATGCCCACTGGTTGCCATACCATCCAAAGCTGTTTTCCCCACCATAACCCCACAGCCAAGTCTTTGTGACAGAGACCCACTGGCCTGCAAAGCCTAAGACACTATCAGGCCCTTTACCAAAAAAAAAAAAAAAAAAAAGTTTGTCGACTCTGACTTAGGCCAAGTGGTCACATTTAATTAGAACAATATCAGATTTCATCTTTAGTTTCTTTTTCCTGCTGTTTTAATAAAAATTCAAAATTTAACATAAAGGACGGTGAGGATAAAGATCAAATTATACAACAGATTCTTTGTGGGTGTTTTTAATAATTTTTAAAGAATTGATTCAATCGTTTGAAATGTACAAGATGCTCTAATCAATGAACTCTGCTGAATTGGTAACAAAATGCTATTTCAAGAAACTGTGTGGGCAGGTGCCTTTCTGAGGGAGATGCTTATTTTTCCGGGGCTGGCTTTGTCGGGGTCCAGCTCCGTAAGTGCTGAGTGGTGCCCAGCAGGGGGAGCCGCAACCACAGCAATCAGAGGACGGGGGCTCCGCTGCCCCCTGCAGCCCGCCCAGCAGAGTCCTGGACACCAGTAAGGCTGCCCTCGAGGCAGGCCTGCAGAGCTCCCCGGCGAGTGTCTGCAGTGCACTGCCCCCCACAGCTCGCAGCCCCTGCCTCACCCAGGCCAAGGACTTTGCTGAGGAAACTTCCAGCGGGCTTAGGGGGAGACATCCTCATGGCCGCTTCCCAGAGGAGGAACTGAGGCTTGGGGAGGTGACCTGCCAGGGGTCCCTCCACATGCACCCTTGCTCCTTGCTCCAGCTCCCCCCGCCACCTCCTGTCCAGGCAGGGCTGCTCTCTCCAGCCTCCTTGGGGTGTGGAGAAAGGGCACGTCTCTGGCCCCTTGATCTCTGCCAGAGAAGGCCTGGGACTCAGCCAGGCCTTTCTTCCCGCGGCGGGGGGGGGGGGCAGGGGGCACTGCCCCTGTCTCCCGTGCTGCCCCCAGCAAGGGCAGAGTTCAGGAAAAGAGCTGCCATAACAGGGGCTGGAGCCGAGATGTAAGAGGCAGATCCAAGAGGACGAGTCAGACAACCGACCAAGCGTGCCCTGTGAGGGGGCGAGTCAGGGCCGGCCGGCATGTGGCAGTGCGCAGCTCCGGCTCCTGGGGGACGTGGAGGCCGAGTGTCTGCAACTGACACAAGGCTGCGCAGCGGGCGGGACGCGGCAAGATCCCTCTGCTTCTCGTCTACGGGGCCCCTGGAGCCAGTAAGGCGGCTCTCTGGCAAGCAGAGGAAGAAATGGCAGTGATCCTAGGACGGCCCAGGACATCATTTGGGAAAAGGGGGCCAAGCCCAAGGAGGGACGCTGCGCTTGGGGGGGGGGGGCGGCGCTGAGAGTGGACGTGTGGGTGGGGACACGAGGAGGTGGGCTCAGCTGGGAGTGCAGCTGCCTTTGGTGCAGGTGAGCTCCCTGTCCCCCGGGGAGGGGGTCAGGAACTCCACAGGCGCGCTTTGCTCAGCCCTCCCCAGGGGCCTCCCTCAGGCCCGGCAGCAGGCTGGTTGGTCCTGGGGAGGCAGGTGGAGGCCCTGCCGCCTGGGTGGACACTTGGGGAGGGCAAATGGGACGGACGACGTTGGCACAGGGAGGGGGTGGGGACAATCCATCTGGATCCTCCGCCTGCTTTTCCTTAACAATCCCAGCTCTTCTTTCCAGAGCACTGCACCTGTGCTGGGCTGAGCGTGAAGCACTTAAGAGGATGCTGGCTTGCCAAGTCTGAGCAGGAAGGCCGTCATCCCCGTGTGAGAGAGAAGGCAACCAGGCCCGGGAGGTGAGTGAGGTCGCTGGCTCAAGCCCTCCTGAGCGCCTGCAGACGTGGAGTGAGCGTCTCGGCCTGGACTGTGTGCTCCCGGGTCTCTGCCTAGCCCTCCAGCCCCTGAGGATACCCAAAGCTCGAGGCAGGGTGAAGGACAGGCGACAGCTCCAGGACCTGATGTCAACCCCACGGAGAGGCACAGAGCTTCTCTGACTTTGACTCAGGAAGTGCTTCCAGGTGGCATCCCGACTTTGAGGTGGCACTCATGGGCGCTGGAAGGCCATGTGACTCTTGGTGGTACCCAAACCCAGACCCCTGTACCCACCCCACCAAGCCCCTCCCACTTCGAGACTGCTGCCCCCCAGCCCTGCCCCCCACTGCATCTTCCTTTAGAAGCAGGACCCAGGAGAGGTGGTAGTGATGCACTTCAGTGGGGGGTGGGGGGACCTCTCGTGTGCGCAGGCCCCAAGTCACCATCCGAAGCAGAGAAGAACAAAAAGAGGAAAAGGAACAGTCAACAAACTAGGAATAGAAGGGCGTTTCTTCAATCTGATTAAGGGGTATTTATTTATGAAAAGCCCACAGCTCCCAGCACACTCAGGTGCAAGATGGAAAGCTTTTCCTCTAAGATCAGGAGCAAGACAAGGATGCCTCCTCTCACCACTTCTATTCAACTCAGTACTAGAGGCTCTACCACAGCAATTAGGCCAAGAAAAAGAACTAAAAGGCATTCAAATTGGAAAAGAAGGAAAATCATCTCTATTAGCGGATGGCATGGTAACATGCATAGAAAAAATCCTAGTGAATATACAAAGACTATTAAAGCTGATAAACAGACTCAGCAAAGTCGCAGGAAACACAATCAACACACAAAAATCAGTGGTATTTGTATACACTCATGACCAACAATCCAAAAATGAAATTAAGAAAAAAAAGAGTAAGATATTTGGGGATATATTTAAATAGGAGGTGCAAGACATGTACATCAAAACCCACAAAATGTTGCTGAAAGAAATTAGAGATTTAAATAAATGCAAAGATGCCTCATGTTCATGGATCAGAAGACTTAACATTATCAAGATGGCAATATTCCCCAAAGCAATCTAAAGATTCAATGCAATCCCTATCACAATCCCAATGGCTTTTTCCCCCTTTTTTGCAGAAATAGAAAAGCTGATCTTCAAATTTATATGGAATTCCAAAGGGCTCTGACTAGCCAAAATAATCTTGAAAAAGAACACAATTCAAATCACTTCTTCATTTCAAACTTATGACAAAGTTATAGTAATCAAGACAGTGTGGTGCTGGCCTAAGAAGAGACGTGGGGGATCAATGGATTGGAACTGAACAGTCCAGAAAGAAATCCATACAACTATGGCAACCGGTTTTCAACAAGGGTGCCAGGACTATTCAATGGAAACAGAAAAGTCGCTTCAATAAACGGTGCTGGGAAAACTGGATCTCCACTAACCAAAGAATGAAATTGGATCCCTACCTCACACCATAAAAAAAAAAATTAACTCAAAATGCATCAATGATCTAACTATGAAAGCTAAAATTATAGAAACTTTTAGAGGAAAATACAAGGAGAAACCTTCCTGTCCTCGGATCTGGCATAGATTCTGAGACACTAAAAGCATGAGCAACAAAAGAAAAAATAGATAATTGGATTTGATCAGAACTAAAAACCTGTGTGCATTAAAGGACACTGACAAAGTGAAAATACAACCTACAAAAAGGAGAAAAATTTTTAATAAGGGCCTAGTATCCAGAATATATATAAAGAACGCTTACAGCTCAATAATAAAGAGACAAACTAAAAAATGAGCAAAGGACTTAGACATTTCTCCAAAGAAGATATACAAATGGCCAACAGGTGGGGCGCCAGGGTGGCTCAGTCGTTAAGTGTCTGCCTTTGGCTCAGGTCATGATCCCAGGGTCCTGGTATCAAGTCCCACATCAGGCTCCTTGCTCGGTGGGAAGCCCGCTCTCCCTCTCCCACTCCTGCTGCTTGTGTTCCTGCTCTCGCTATCTCTGTCAAATAAATAAATAAAATCTTTAAATTAAAAAAAAAAAAAGGTACCAAGGATGCCTGGGTGGCTCAGTTGGTTAAGCGTCTGCCTTCATCTGCCTTGATCCTGGGATCAAGCCCCGCATCAGGCTCCCTGCTCAGCAGGAAGCCTGCTTCTCCCTCTCCCATTCCCCCTGCTTGTGTTCCTTCTCTCGCTGTGTCTCTGTCAAATAAATAAATAAAATCTTAAAAAAAAAAAAAAGAAAAAAACCAAATGGCCAATAGGCACACAAGATGCTCAATATCATTAGTCATCAGGGAAATGGAAACCAAAACCACAATGAGATACAACTTCACAATGACTAGACCATAATTTAAAAAGAAAACGGAACACCAAGTGTTGGTGACAGTGTGAAGTACCCTGCTAGTGAGAAGAGATGGTACAGCTACTGTGAAAAGCAGTCTGGTAGTCCCTCAAAAAGTGAAACACAGAGTCACCATATGACTCAGCAATTCCACTCCTAGGTGTAGACCCCAAAGAACTGAAAACAGGGACTCAAACAAATCCTCCTGCACGCATGTTCATAGCAGCATCATTCACAATCACCAAAAAGAAACAACCCAAATGTCCACTATGGGATGGCTGGATAAGCAAAATGTGGTCCATCCACACAACAGAATATGACTCAACCACAAAAAGGAATGAAACACCGACGCACACTATGATGTGAATGAACCTCAAAAACATCACGCTGAGCGAAAGCCAGACACTAAAGGCCACATGGTGTAGGATCCCATGTATATGAAATGTGCAGAACAGGTCAATCTACAGAGACAGACGCAGATTTGTGGCTGCCAGGGGCTGGGGGAGGGGGAATGGGGAGTGACTGCCCATGGGGACGGGGTCTCCTCTGTGGTGATGAGAGTGTTCTCGAACTAGACAGAAGAGCTGGTTGCAGAACACGGTGAATGTACCAAATGCCACTGAACTGTATACTTTAATGGTGTATTTAATGTTACGTGAATTTTACTTCAATTTTTAAGGAAGTCTTACGTTCATAGAAAATACAATGAAAAGAGGATATGGAATGCGCAACCCAGCAGGCCTCAGGCTGTGACGGGAGGAACGAGGCTGATAGTGCAGGCTGCACCCCCAACCTCCCCAGCCCAGGCCCCTCCTCACCCTTCTCTGCCCTCCAACCCCCAGCCCACAGTCACTGCCAAGCCTCAGACTGCCCCCACCGGCCCCTTCCTACAGGGCACTGGTTACAAGCAGGTCTCCACAGCAGGATGCTCTCCACCTCCCAACCGGCCCTCACCCCCCGGGCACTGTTCTGTAAGAGAGGCCCTGCTCAGGATCTGCTCCAGCAGGATGTGGAGGTGAGCCTGCACGGAGGCCTAGGGGTGTCTGCACGCTGTGTGGCTTCTGGGAGAACCCGGCGTGTCCCCGGGGGACAGATAAGCCCAGCCTGGTCTTCGGGGCTGCACTGAGAAACAGGGTCCCAGCTGAGAGGAAGGTGGCCCTCTGGCCAGGGTGGGCACCCCGTACTCACCAGGGACCGCTTGGCTTCAGGCAGGAACTGTCCAAACTCGGACAGCAGGTCCTCCTGGCCCCGGAAGAGGTTGGCCACCTCGGTAAACACCTCCTCCTCAGACATGCCGCGGAATGGCCGGCCCTTTGTGCTCAGCTGCTCCTTCTGCCGATTTTCGGGAAAGGGAAAATGAGTCGTTAGCCAAGGAACGAGGCACCCCAGGCTGTGACATTCAGGCATCCCACTGTGGAGGAGACAGAGGGACGACTCACGAAACAGAGAACCGGCTGGCAGAGCCCATGCCTACCACCACTGGGAGAAAGGAACCCAGTCCACCACACTGTTAACAACTCGGGGTGCCCTGCATGCCTCTGTCCTTGTCCCACCCCACAACACAGCCTGAGCCCTGGCCAGGGGTGGGGCTTACGTGGTAGTGTGGAGGGGATGTGGGCAGGGGCACAATCATGAAATGATCTGGCCTCAGTCCTTGGGTGTCCTCAACCAGAGGCTGGGGAAGTACAAGGTCAGGGACGAACCCGTGGATAGGGGGCAGGGAGTGTGGGGCTGGCGCTGGGCCTTGGAAACAGGAAACAGGGTGACAAGGGAAGGAAAAGGACTACCAGGACAAGGGACCATTCCACCCAGAGTCAGAAAGACCCCGAGAGTTGAAGGAAGATGGCCTAATCCAGAGCTTAAAGCAACAAGATGAGGACCGAAGGGGACCCGGGTCAGGAGGGCAGGAACTCAGGATGGCCATTAGAAGCAACGCCGTCAACTTTACACCCGAGAATGTGGCAGAGCTGGGGCCCTCCCAAAGCACATAGCTCCAGATTCCCACTCTGCGGTGTGAAGGGAAGGAGACGACCCGTCAAGAGCCCTTGCTGTCTGACCCCTCCCCTTCCTCAGGTCCCCTGAAGCTGGCTGGCTGCCCTGACCCCCGGGACTTTGCATGGGGTGTTCCCAGCACTGAGAAAGTCCACCCTTTGTCTATACTCATTTGCCTGGTGGTTCTGACTGATTTCTCAGGATTCAAGCTAACTCTGCCCTTCCTGACACCACCCCCCCCGCCCCCGGTCAGGGTTGGCAACTGTGAATCCAGACACACTACTACATGTTTCCCTTTTTCCCCACCCCATCCCTCTCTAAGTCTCGTCCACCTCCAGACTGAACTAAGCAGCAGCCATTCATCTTTGCTGCCCCGCTGCCTGGCACAGGGCCCACTTGTAATCCACTTGTAATCTGCATCAACAGAGCGTAGCTGTGTTGTCAAAACACTAGCGAAGCCGTCTTAAAAAAGACCATCTTCTTAGGTTCTTTTTAAATCCCCGTACGGTGTGTTTCCTAGTACTCTTCCTTGGGACGTAGAGGTGCCTCAAGGAGCAAATTAAAATCCTAACAACTCCAACAGGTATCCAGATGCCCGTGTTCACAGCAGCATTATTCACAAGGGCCAGAAACATGGAAGCAACCCTGGTGCCCATCAATGGATGAACAGATAACCCCAAGTGGTGCATCCATGCCATGTTCTCCAACCTTAAAAAGGAAGGAAGTTCTGACCCAGGCTACAACATGGATGAACCCTGAGGACATCACAGTGAGCGAAAGAAGCCAGACACAAAAGGACAAGTACTGTATAATCCCGCTTACAGGAGGTCCCTCGAGTTGTCAAACTGACAGACAGGAAGTGGGATGGTGGGTGCCAGGGGCTGGGGGAGTTACTGTTTCACGGGGACAGAATCTCGGTTTCGCATGATGAACAAGTTCTGGGGCTGGATGGTGGGGAAGGCTGCACAACATGAATGTACTTAATGCCATGGAACTGGATACTTAAAAAGGGTTAAAATGGTAAGTTTTAGGTAAAAAGAAAAAAAGCACATCGGAATTGTACAGGATTTCCTGAATTCAGACCAGAAAATACGACCGCCTCAGACGCACCCTGAAGAGTGGGATGGTACCACCAGCACCCACCCAGTGTGCCGTGGGGCCTCTTACCTGGTAAGTGTGCAGGATCTCCAGGAATGACCTGTAGATCTCTGGGTGGTCTAGAAAACGGGTCTTAATCTTGTTCACGTAGCTGATGGCGTTGTTGAACTCCACGGAATCCGACTCCAAGGGCACCTGCGGCTTGTCCTCCTTATACAGCATCTGTGGCTTGAAGTTCTCCGCACAGTCGCTGTGGTTGTGTGAATTCTCCTGACAACAGCACGACAGTGAGTTACTGGCAGGCCTGACCCCGCAAACAGACGTGAGAAACTCCAGACAGAGCCATGGTCTGTCTGAGACCAAGCAATACCCAGCACAGGGCCAAGGTTTTTAATGAGATGCAGGAGAACGTTCCTTGTGGGGGCCTGGAGGGAAGGAAGCAGTGGGCGGGCACGCACAGGCAGGTAATTCCTCCCTCACCACGCTGTGCGTCTGCACCGTCCTGGGTGAGTCTCACGAACCCACCTCCATCTGATCAAAGAGCATGGGAGTTTGATGGATACCCAACACCTTGAAAAATCAGCATACGGGAGAGATATATGACAAGTGGATTGTTTAATCCCCTCTGGAGTGGAGTTTGGGACTGTGTTTACAAAAGAAGCCTTCCACACCTCCTGCCAGCCCATTTCAGCAAGACTGTTTTGAGGAGTGAAAGCACCTGCTGTCAGCGGTGCTGGGCAAGTGGGGACCCTGGAGGTAAGGGGGGCCCACCGCCCAGGTTGTCCAGGACTGCAGGACTCTTGGTGCTAAGCCGGGGTTAAGTCACTTGAGAGAAGAGACAGGCCCTGACCGGTCATCATGCTTGCCCTCCGTCTGTGGGCTTTCTGTCCATACAAATAAAAATAGAAAACAGACACCCACGTCCCTCCCCTGGGCACCCAGAATCCTGATTTTGGGTGGGACTGACCTACCCCCTGGAAGGAGGAGATGTTTATGTTTCTAAACTGAAATTTTATGCGTGGTTCTGATGATTCCCCACAAACCACGACTGAGATGTCAGGGGCGACCCTCCGGGCATCCTGTGGGTCCGATGCACACAGGGGCTGGTTCTCGAGCAGGTCTCGAACCCTCCAGTGCAGCTCCAGGCGTCTGTTAGAAGACACCTTCTCAGCAAGTCTTCCAGAACCACCCAGCGCCAAACCAAAATGTCTGTCTCCCAGCACTCTGAGCCCCTTTCTCGCTCGATTTTCCTCCGTGGCACATGTCACCTTCCGACACACACATATTTTACTTATTTTATCGTCTGTCCACCCCTGACCAGATGGCAAACGCCCTGAGAGCAGACAGTCCACACTGTTCACCACCACAGCCCAAGTGCCTGAACAGTGCTTGGAACAGAATGGGCTCCACCCACTGTTGGGAATAATCAGATGACCAGAGGAAGGAACAAAGAGCCCGGGGTTTCCATCCCCCTTGGCACGGGGCACCAACCGCGGACCTGAAGACTCCAGAGGGATGGGGGACGCTGGGCACAGAGCTGCAGAGCCGTCACCGGGAAGGACGCGCCTGCTGGGCATGCTCGCTCTCATTGGGGTGGGGGTGTGCTACTCCGCTCAGGCGGCCGTAACTCCGCAGCCTGGGCGGCTTACACAACAGAAACGTTTCCTCACAGTCCTGGAGGCTGAAGCCCAAGATCAAGGTTCAGCAGAGGTGGTATCTCCGGAGGCGTCTCGGCTCGTGGGTGGCCCATCTTCTCGCTGTGTCCTCACATGATCGTCCCTGTGTGGGGGTCGCTCCCCGTGTCCAAATGTCCTCTTACAACACACCAGTCAGATTGGATCAAGGGACACCCTAAGGGCCTCAGTTTACCGTAATTACCTCTGTAAAGGTCTCCAAAAACAGTCATATTCTGAGTACGGAGGATTAGGACTTCAACATATGAATTGGGGTGGGGTGGGGGTGGGGACACAATTCAGCCCAGACTGTGTGGGTGAGGGGCAACTCTAGAAAAGTCTGAGCTGAGACAAGCAGACACACAAAAGACCCAAAGCAGCCACAGTTCTAAATGCCACCTCTCCCTGGCAGTGGGATGCATCCTAAGGCCCTCTGGGGGCTCTCTTGCTGATTACCACATTCCTTCCAGGTGTGCTGGCCTGGCAGTGGAAGGAGCTAGAAGGAGCCAGGGAGAGGCGGGGGAGGAAGCAGGCTGGGAGCGGAGACTTGCTTCAGAGGCGGCTGTGAGCTCGTTGGAACTCCCCACCGCTCCTCGGGGGCATTTTCTAGCTCTGTGTACCCTTTCCCATGCCCTGGACAGAGGCGCGGGGAAAAGATGGAGAACCCTCCTCAAGGCCAGGGCTTGGCAAAGAGGGCCAGACGGTAATGGTGCACCTGCTGAAGCCAACAGCCTGGCGGTTCCTCACTAAGTTAAACGTAGTTACCACGTGACCCGGCAATTCCACTTCTGGGTTCGACCCAAGAATCGCAAACAGATGTGCAAACGACCCAAATGTCTACACCAAGCAGTAACGGATTAACACACGTAGCGCATCCCGACGATGGAATCTTCAACTGTAGGAAGGAATGCAGCTCTGACCCAGGCTACAGTGAGGATGAACCTCGACACTGTAATGCTGGGCGCAGGAAGCCAGACAAGAGAAGTTACGCGACGCCACTGAAACGAAATGTTCACAACAGGCAAATCTGCAGAGACGAAGTGGATTAGTGGTTGCCAGGGGCTGGTGGGAGAGGAGAACTGTGCGATACAGTTTCCTTCTGGGGTGATAAAATGTTCTGGAATGGGGGGAGGTGCTGTAAGATACCGTAAATACGCGTGAACCTGCCGAACTGTATACTTTAGTTACAAAAAGTGAATTTATGCTACTGTGAATACTGTCACAATTTAAAAACATTTTTTAACGTAATCTCTGGAAAATGTAAAAACCACTCTCCATACAAATACGAGCTGGCTTTGGATCCTGGGCCAACCCCCGCTCTAAACGTTCCGGAACAATCCAGTTTTTTCTCGTCTGTGCCTGCCCTGGGTGGCCTAATCCGGGCACAGTCAGGTACACTCCTACTAGACACCGAGGAGCAGCCCTGCACAGCCCCACCTGGGTATGTACGAGACACCTCATCAAACAGCACATTCCCCACGCAGAGCAGCACCCCTGCCGCCCCCACTGCTCCCAGGCCCCCCTCACCCTAGCAGGTGCTGCCACCTTCACCCAGAGGCTGAGGCATCCTGGAATCTCCTTGGACTTCCCACCCTGACTCCCCGCCCCCGGTCCACATCACCGCCCACTCTGCCTGGATCACCAGGGGCCCCTCGCTGGCCCCCAGATCCTCTCCTGCCCCCCTAGAGTCCACTTCTGGCACCACAGCCAGAGCCGCCTTCCTGGAACTCTCCACGGGTTCCCCATGCTCCTGACTCTCTCCCCCCACCCCGCAGGCTCCCCGGCTGTTTCTTAAGCACACCCACTCATTTTGCCACCTCAGGCCTTTAGACCCAGCCCAGGAAACCCCCGCCCAAGACACAGGCAGGGTTCCTGATCTCTCACACGGCCTCTGCCCACGGCCCCTCATGCCCTGCCCGGGCTTCACTCACAGTGCAGTATTTCTCATCTGTCCACCTGTATCTCCCGAGTGCCCCGAGAGCAGACTCTGAATAAACCCCAGCGCCTGGCACAGAGGTGGTGGTCGACACCTGCTCCGTGGGTGACTAAGACACAAATACGAGGCGCGACCCACTAGGGACTCACTGAACTTCCAGATGACCCTCCCCCCAGAGAGAGAACACGGGAGGCCTGCCTCTCAATGTAAAGGTGCCACTTACTGGACGAGCTAAAGGTTTAACCTTTACCTGTGTTCAAGCCGGCTGTTCGTCTAGCCGGCCCTAAAGGGGCTGGCTCCCAGGAGGCAGGGGCGGCTCTGAACGGAACCTGGGAGCTGAGATTCATCACCTTCCCACCAACACGAGGTGTCTTGCTCCTCCAACATGTGCCTGGCATGGCCCCGAGACAGGGACACAGTCGTGAACCAGACAGACAAGGGTCCTGCCTGATCTGGACTCAGTCTGCCAGGGAAGGCAGACCAAGACACGTTGGATTTCTAATTTCAAACCCTGGCTTTGCAATTTTACAATATATAAAATGGGTGGCATGCGTATAACCCAGGGGTGGGAGTAGAGGGCTCTCTGGGGAGGGATGCTACAACCGAGGCCCGATGACCAGCTCCAACATGCTGCTGACTCAGGAGGCTGTAGCCCCAGCAAGGTGACCTTCTTCCCACCATGCTTTCCAAGCCTGTCTGCCTGTCTTCCTCTTAGACTTGTGTTCTCAGCGAGGCTGATTTTGTCACCCAGGGGGCATTTAGCGACACATGGAGCTACTTCTAGGTTGTCACATGGTGGAGGGTGGAGGCTGGGGATGCTGCTCAGCCCGGTAGAGTGCATAGGACAGCCTGCTCCAGATAAGAACAATCTGGTCCCAAGGGCAATTGGGCCAAGGCTGAGAAAACTGCACCAAGGGCTCCCCACAGCCTGGGACTCCCCCGTTTTCTCTTCCTCAGCACCTCAGAGCTACTCCCTCCCTGTCTAGAGTTGACAGGACTCACGAGATGAGCAATGACAAAAAAATGAAGGTGCTCCTTCAAAACACGAAAGCTAGAAAAACCCAGTAAAACAAAAAAAATCCGGGGTGTGGCACGTAGGGAGCCCTGAGAAGTTCTCGGGCTTCCGTGGCCTCTCAAAGGACTCCAGGACACCAAGAGGCCATCTCGCCTATGCCTGGCAGGAAGGAGCTCTGAAAAGCAGGGCAGGAAACCCGGCAGGTCAATCGATGTGCACAGAAATGGAGTGGGCAGCAGAAGAAGGGGGGCCCTAGATGTCGTGGCTTCGGGGCTTTAGCAAGACCATAAAGCCGGGTTAAATAGTAGCTGTGAAGTCAGGGGGAGACAGGGCTGGTCCAGTCTCGCTGTGTCCACAGCACCTCTCCATGGAGTGAGCACAACAACAGGGGCCTTCTGGCTACTGCCCGGAAGGGCCACCTCCTAATGCAACCACGGTGAGGTTCGCATCGAGATCCAGCCCCGCAAGCCGAGTTACTCCAACAGTCGGGGATTGAGAAAGGCGATTTTCGTAATTGAGGTCTCCGACCTCGGCTCTTTCTTAGGGAGTGATGGTCACGACACACCCGTGTTCAGACTCGTCCAAGTGCTCCCCTGCGCACCGCTGCAAATGAGCCTGCTTTTCTTCCCAGCCTCGACTGTTGCGCAGATGAATCCCGCTAAGGCTTGTGATCGTCTGGAGCAACGAGCCCTACATCTGGATTGAGCTCCATTTGTAAATGTGAAATGGAAGAAGCTCTTTGGAGTTCAGTGGCCACGCGCTTCCGAGTTCCTTTTCAAAACGGAGACGCTCTCCTTGGCTTTAATGAGGCAACATGCTGGTGGTGGAGCTTTCCTTGCATAGAAAGAAGGCAGAATTTACATGGGGGTCCCTCTCAGAGAGGGAGGTCACTGTCACACTGCCTCTGGCTGTTCTTCCAAATCTGACTCCTGCATTGATATGAAACTGCAATCTCTGTCATCGGAGGCGGAACCGAAAGAATGCTTTCCGGGGTAGATTTTTATATTCCCCCGCTAAAACCCAAAGCCCTGCAGCAGAGACAGAAGAGGCTTAAAGAGCTGGTTCACGGAGATCAGGGGTTCTTGATGGGGGAGCGATGTGGCTCCCAGGAGTCATCTGGCAATGTCTGGGGATGTTTCAGCTGTCGCCTGTCGCCAAGGGGTGAGGGCCTTGTGGGCGGAGTCAGGGATGCTGCTAAACATCTCCAGATGCACTAGAGGGTCCCCCGCAGCACAGCATTACGGCAATGGGGCCAAGGTGGAGGAAAGGCAATGGCTACTTTATAAGAGTAAAGCTCACATAGACTTTCACTTTCTCAGGGGCTCTGGTGGGCTCGGGGAAGAAGGGACCACAGAAACAGAGGCAGCAAGCCACCACCCGAGACAGAAGGAACCAAAGCCACAAGCCTAAGCTGAGCCAACGACCCTGGTGGCAATGAAATGCGGCCCAGCAACAACAAAATGGCTATTCCCACACACATCTCAACTGCTTTATTTTGTGGCTGGCACCTGGGACGATCAGAGAGACCCCATGCCTGAGTACAAGTGCGCCTGCCCTGTGTGCTCATGGGGAAAGCCTCAGAGTAATAAGAGCCTGGTGCTGGTGGGTGGTTATTTTGACAGGACATAGAACTGTTAAGAGAATGCCCCTGACACAACCAACCACATCCACTCTTGATCTGAATCCTCCAAATGGATCGATGTGGAATAAAGAGGCTGGCTGGGTAGGGATTTTGATCTATTTCGACCTGTGCTAAAAGGGAGCAGAGTGTCTAGAAAAAGACTGGATCTTGACTGGCTTTCCGCAACAAGATGCACAAGACGGGCTGCCTGACCTGGGTACCTGAGTACCAGGGCGCGCCGTGTTAGGGCCAGATCACTCGGAACACCAGAGCAGCATACCTGGCTGGACAGAGGCGACTGTATGTTTAACTTGCCGTTCTTGGGAATGTCTATCCTGTACCCGAGGGGAAGGAAAGCGTTGAATCCAACAATGAGGTCAGGGTGTTCGTGGAAGAGCTGCGACACACGTCGGATGACTCCAGGCGTATCGATGCTGGAAGAAAAAAGATTGAGAGTGGGCAGAAGTGTCCTGGGGAGCACATGGAAAGCAAAATCTACTCCCAACTCGCTTGACAGTGCCACCTAATGGGCTTCTCGAAGGACAACGAAGCACCCTGCAATGTGACCAGTGTGATTCAGCCAACGTGTTACGTGTCATCTACTTCCATGGCAGCCAGGCTCGGGCTCCCTGTGCCCTGCTAGCGAGAACCACAGGATATTTGCATGGCACAGCTCCCCTAAACACTCCAAGCACACACACGCTCGGTTCTGAAAATGTCAGGAGAGCCAAGTGAAAGTCCGGGACTCCAAGCAGTGGCAGGAAGCCACAGCCCTCTAAGCAATGTGATGAACCATGACACAGGTGTTGATCCCAGCAAGTGATGGCAAGGCATGAATACCAAAGGCCTTGCAAGTATGAGTTGCACATTGCCAGGGGTCTCCCTCATGGCTGGTGGGAGGGGCCCCTCAAGGCTTTAGCTTCTCTCTCCTGGAAGGAAACCAGGCCAGCCCTGCCACATTTCCTCAGAAGGCGTAAGCAGCCTGGTGGAGATGTGACCACCGAGAATCTAAGAGTCAGAATGCCCACGTTCTAGTCCTGACTGCCCCTAAGGTTGGTCTAGGCAAGCCCCTGGCCCACTCTAAGCCTAAGTGAGCCTCCTGTTGGAAGATGGCATGATCTCCAGGTCCTCCATCTAGCTCTAACCCTCCTGTGTGCCTGCAAAATCAGCCAATGTGTTTTAAACCCTTTCTATGTGCCAGGCTCCTTACAAAGCATTTTATGCGCATTTACTGTCCAACAGGCCTGGGACTAGGGTGCCACTGACGGGTGAGGCACTCACCTTGGTGACAAGATTTAAGGGGGAGAGGGCGCCAAAACATTCAATAATCAAGGCAAATAACATTTTAATGTAGTGCTTAAAAACATTAAAATTAATTTTAAAAAAATCCTTGGTGAACAAAATTCATTTAAAAATCATTTTGAGTAAAGACAGGACCAGACTCTCCCGCTTGCAGACTTCGCTCTCTTGCTCTCTCCTCACCCCATCCCTGCTCTCCTTCCAGGAATCCCCACAACAGCTCCACAGGGGTGGGTACTCTCCACTCCTGTTTTTTAAAAGGAACTGAGGCTCTGAGAGGTTCCAAGACCTGCGCAAGGTCACCCGACTGGGGCGGAGAGGCAGCCAGAATGGGGGGGTTCCCACCCCGCTCAGCCGGATCGCGGCCCAGGACGGACCCCCCGGGGTGGGGAGGGCTCCCGCGGGTACCTCTGGCTTTTGAACTCCTTCATGATCTCCAGGAAGCCGTTGTAGGTGGCAGGGTCGCTGCCGAAGCGGATCTTCACCTGGTCCAGGTAGGTGAGGGCGTCCTCCACCTGCGGGGAGGTGGAGGGTCCCGGTGGGCGGAGGTCGGCGGAGGAGGGGACGGAAGACAGGGGACCCTGGAGGGGAGGGGGACGGGCCGAGCCTCCGAGGAGCCGAGGTAAGGGGTCAAGGGACTGGGGTCCGGGGCCGTGAGGAGTGGAGGCCGAGGCGGGGCCGGGTGGGGCCCGGGCGAGGGGCTTCGGCCCGCGGGTGCCGGACGACAGGGTTCCCGAAAGAAGGTGGGGGCAGCACTCACGTGCACCGGCAGCTTCTCGTGACCCGCGGAGCCCGAGC